CCCTGGCTGGTTCTGAGGGGCAGGCTGGCAGCTCATGCTCGGTGAGCAACAGGGTGGGCTGGAGGCATCGGGGCAGAGGTATCCCTAAGGGGTGAGGCCATAGCCAGGCAGGCCCCCACCAGGAGCCTGGGTGCAGTCAGAGCTGGCAGCCCAGAAAGGAGACCCTGTGGGAACAAGCGCCCCTGACGGCCAGAGGCTCTTTCCAGCCCAATCGTGGGGAACCCCTGTTTTCTACGCCCTCCCAGGTCTTCACCGGGATCTTCACCGCAGAGATGACCTTCAAGATCATCGCTCTCGACCCCTACTACTACTTCCAGCAGGGCTGGAACATCTTCGACAGCATCATCGTCATCCTCAGCCTCATGGAGCTAGGCCTGTCCCGCATGGGCAACCTGTCGGTGCTGCGCTCCTTCCGCCTGGTACCTGCTGGGCCCTCTGCAGGGGGGTGGGGCGGGTGCCTGGGGCACCACTCACTCACCCCAACTCTGAGCCATCATGCCTTCACCCAACAGCTATTGGCTAAATACCCCTGGGTGCCAGGCCCAGATTGGGGGGAGCAGGGGACAAGACACAAAAGAGATATCCCTCCAGAGGAGCAATTGGGGTGGCCATCGGATGATTTGCAAAGCCCTCTGTGATTCACCCTGTAGTCCTCACAGGATCCCAGGAGTGGGGCTGATATAACTATATCCCCATTGCACAGATGAGGAGACTGGGACTCAGAGAGGTTGTCACCCTGGGTGGTTGTGGTGGGAGTTCCTGCTGTCCTGTCATGAGGGACCTGGGCCTTTGCTTTCATGGTCACCTGTCTGTCATGGGCAAGTGCATCTTGCCTTGTGTCTGTACAACGTGGGGAATCCCAGAGTTGCGAGAGCTCAAATTCTACATGCCAAAGAAGGGTTCTTTGGAAGAGTCATGGTTGAGGCAAGTCAGTGATTCAGAAAGGAGTCAGAAACAATTTCCCAAAGCCCCCTGGCAAGTAGCAGGTGGAGCCAGGTCTGCCGACAGCTCTTCTGGGGTTCTGCCTGCTGGTTTCAGAATCCGCATTTTGCAAACAAATGCACAGACAACTCGCCCGCGGATCTTGTTAAGCTGCAGATGACAGATCAGTGAGTCGCAGATGATGCCAGAGCTTCTGGTGGACTATGCTTTACATTTAAAATGCCTGAGAGGTCCAGACATAGGGCTGGAGGGAGGTCAGGGAAGGCTTCCCGGCGGACGTCTGAGCACTGTTGGGGCTCAGGAAGGCAGCCCGGTGGGAGCAGGTGAGAAAACCTAGATGGTGAGTTCTAATCCCAACTCCACTGCCATGAGCCAAGGAACTTAGACAAGTTACTCCACTTGTAAGGGTTGTCGTCTTCATCTGCCAAAGGAGGTAGTAAGAGTCCCAACCCCATGTGCTATTGGGAGTTCTGTATGAGTTGATGCATCCTAAGCACATGGTCTGACACAGTAGGTTTTTAATACATGCTAAGCACTGGCTCCCTTTCTCTGTTACAACTAAGAGGAGAGATAAATGGAGGTGATTGGGTAAGTTAGAGATGGCTGAGCTGGCCTGGAAGGGTATCTGATGAAGGGCCTGGCAGGAAAAGGACATGCCCTATTGGGGGAATCTAGGAAGTTCCTTGAAGGGAGACCAAGGGGAGTAGGAGGCTGGTGTGAGGACAAAGAGAAGGGCTGTATCGGGGGAATGAGGGGACCATTGAGGGGAATGAGGGCTGTATGGGGGGAGCTGTTGACCTAACTCCCAGAGCAGAGTCCGCTGCAGCTACCTTCAGGCTGTGGGAAGAGACGGCGGTGTGTGCTCTTGGAGAAACCTGGAGGAACAGGTGTCAGTGACTTTCAAGGGCTCCCCGGGTTTTCAGGCAGGAAGTGTGGGAGGGAGATCAGGGTGTCCGTGGGCACTGGGAACCAGAACCTATCCCAGGCCCCCTCCCTCCCCAGCTGCGGGTCTTCAAGCTGGCCAAATCATGGCCCACGCTGAACACACTCATCAAGATCATCGGGAACTCGGTGGGCGCCCTGGGGAACCTGACGCTGGTGCTGGCCATCATCGTGTTCATCTTCGCCGTGGTGGGCATGCAGCTCTTCGGCAAAAACTACTCAGAGCTGAGGCACCGCATCAGCGACCCAGGCCTGCTGCCCCGCTGGCATATGATGGACTTTTTCCATGCCTTTCTCATCATCTTCCGCATCCTCTGCGGCGAGTGGATCGAGACCATGTGGGACTGCATGGAGGTGTCCGGGCAGTCACTGTGCCTGCTGGTCTTCTTGCTTGTGATGGTCATTGGCAACCTTGTGGTAAGTTGGCCAGTGGCCTGGCATACACACAATCACCTACTTGTCTATTCCTCCACCAGCTACCCATCTACCCATTCACTTACCCTTCCTTCCATCCATCCATTCATTCACTCAGCCATCTGTCTATCAAACCACCTATCCACCCACCAGTCTCTCATCTATCCACCTATTTACACATCCATTCATCCGTCTACTCATTTACTCATCCTTCCATCTGTCTTCTCATTCATTCATGCATCTACCCACCAATGTACCCACTTAGGACTTTTCATCAATTCACCCATTCCCTTACCATTTATTCTTCTATCTCTCTACTCATCTATACATCTATCTATCCAGCCAGCCAGCCACTCATAAATCGCCCACCCACTACCTCACCCATCCATCTGTCTACCTCTCCATCAATCTATCTACCTATTTACTTACTGACTGGCCCATTCATTCATATCACTCTTTGTTTGTTAACTCATTCTTTAATTCACCCACTAACTTGCCTGCTTATTTATTATTTTCTCATTTTACCTTCATTAATTTATTTACTTACTACCTAGTATTTTATTAGTCATTCACTGGCAATGATTTATCGCATGGTTTTTCAATTCAACTTAACAAACATTTGCTGAACCCTGGTTGCATGCAAAATATTGTGCCAGAGGCTATTGGATATACAGAGGTGAATGGGGCCCTGACATTACTCATAAACTTGAGAGAGTGGGGAGGTGGGGAGTTCAAAGAGGCATGAAATTAGAACTTTCAAATTAGTCAGAACGATCAGAGCCATTAAGTGGGAGCTTATAGGTGCTGATCCCTTCCAACTGGAAATCAAGGAAGGCTTCCTGGAAGAGTGTTTAAAGCTGACCTGCTAGACATGTAATGCTAGAGAGGAAAGGGGCAGGGTGAGCAAAACACAGGTGCCAGCAGGTGGTGGTCCGGGTGAGGTGGGCCCGTGGGAGCCATTGTATGTCTCCCTGGGTAGCTAGGGTGGGCATCCCTACTGGTCTATCATGAGGGATCCAGACCTTTGCTACCGTGACCACCTGTCTGTCAAGGGCAGGTGCGTCCTGCCTTGGGTGTTTACAGTATGAGGAATCCCAGAGTTGAGAGAGATCAAATCTAAATGCCAAAGGAGGGGCCTTTGGAAGAGTCGGGGCTGAGGCAAGTCCAGTTGTTCAGTGTCCTCTGGGGACATGGTGCCACCTTCCTGGGTACACAGGTGGCCCACACATACTCGGACATCACACCCACATGGCCTGGCTCCCGAGGGCATGGGCAGCCCACGCTCGCGTCAGTCCATAGAGAGGTTTTAGGTGGCGGGAGTACTGTGAGCGGCAGATTCTGGTGCCCTTCCTCAGGTTGGTCTGTTTTCTCCTCCCGTGTGTCTTCACGAGGCCGGGGCAGTCCCAGGCTGCGATGGGGTCCGCCTCCCGCAGGCCCCGCGGGTGGAGGAGCCCCGAGAGGAAGAGGGCGTCAGTGCACAGAGCTGCCGGAACCCAGCTCTTCGGCTGGCCTCACAGCCCTCCTCCCATCTCCTCACACTGCCGGACCCCATGTATTCCAAGGGGGGCGCCAGTACTGAGCCCTCAGAAAAGAGCCAGCCTGAGCTGCCCTCACACACACAGCCCTGCCATTGCCAAGCAGATCTGTCTGGGGACGAGAAGATTAGAGTCTGCTGGGGAGGGAAGCTGACAGCCCACGCAGAACCGCTCCCCCCCACCCCCACCCCCCGGAATTGGGCTGCTGCCGGGCGTGGGAGGAAGCCATTGCCATTCGAATGGGAAGTGATGATCAGGCAGGGGCTGGGCAGCAGCAGCGTGATTGACAGGGAAAGCACTGGAAGGAGACAAACTTCTGAAGCTGCCGACAAGGGAGGCCCTAGCGTCCTGTGTGGGTGGACGAACAAGGCTGCCCAGGCGCCCCCTGCCTGCCCGGCCCCCGGCCTGAGCCGCAGACACCTGGAGGTCAGGGGCGGTGGGCCAGGCATGGGTGAGGGCAGTGTGAGAGGATCCAGGGTGGGCAACAGGGACGGAGCAGGCCGGGCCGGAGGTCTGCGTGGACAGCAGCTCTGAATCGCACCCCATGCCCCGCCCCCAAAGACGACACAAGAAAGGCTGCCGGTGTCAAAAGTGATCATTTCTCCGTAGACACAGGATCCGGAGGTCCTCCTTCCTAACCCTCCGTGCTGTCCATGTGAGTGTGTGCTGCTCTTTTTTAACAAAGGCCGGTCTCTGAGGGCTGGCGCTCCAACCTTCTGTCAGAGTCTCATTCCCAGCTGCTGACAGGTGTCTGCGGGGCTTGTGAGAAGCCAGAGCAGGGGCTTCACACACCACCCTGCTGTAGGGGCCCCCATCCAACTGAGCTCCCCTCTGGGGGCACCCCAAACCCAGCGTGGGGAGGTGTGTCGCTGGCCTGTTGGCCTGGTGATGCTCCGAGCCCAGACTGGCCCACATGAGGGCAGGAGCCCACCACCCGCTTCATTGAACCCTCAGGAAACTGGGAATTGGGCCCGTGCCCAGTCCCTGGTCACCCAGCAAAAGTTTTCTTTTGTAGCAAAAGCTAAACATTCACATTTGCAAGAAAACGTCTCACTTGCGGGATGGTTTAACACCAAGCAGTAATCCAGACCATGCAAACAGAGGACCATGCAAACCTCCCTTCGGGGTCAAGTCCTTAATCCCTACATTTTAAATTTTATCTTTATTGTTAAAAGTATAACCGATGTCCCCTTTTTCCCCACTGACCCCCTCCACCCTGCTAATACATAATTTAAGTAGCGTGCCTTCGAGCACCTCTGAAACCTCGGCCCCTCCCCTGGCTCCCCGCAGCACAATGGGCCTTGGAGCAGGGCTGGCCCCTGGCACCAACCCCAGGTCTCTTCACCCCATCCCACTGTCTGGTCCCACACACAGCACCCATCCAAGTACCGCTCACCACCTGGACACAACCCCCTCTCAGGAGCCTGACCCGGCAGTTGGTCCCAGACGCCTGAGGGCTGCTAGCTGGGCTCTGGTCCAGCCATTGTCCCCTTCTCTACTCAGTGCCCCCCGGGCCTCACCTGGGAAGCGTAGTCAGACCTGGGGACACAGGCGGAGGGTGCTCACAGCAGGAGCCCCAGGTGTTTGAGTGGTGAGTGGCCTGGTTGGGGTGGGGGGGCCGTGGAGACACGCCACTACCCCTCCCTCCTTCACCAACGGATGCAGAGGCCCCCCCAGGAACACCCCAACCTCTCTGGGTGGGGTTCTGTCTTGTCCCCAATGGCCCCCCGATTGGAACCCCCTTCCCAGGAGCTGCTGACAAGGAAGGCCTAGGCTTTGACATGGACCCATTGAACCTGGGCCAACACACAAGAGACCTAGGTCTGTGCAGCCTCAACCCCCACATATCTGAGACCTTGGGAGGGAGGGTTAGAATGTGTCTTTCCTTCCCATAGCCACACTCTCTATGTTCAAGAGAATGGGGGTTAGGATCAGGCCCAGGACCCAGGTTCCCACCTCGAGCTGGTGGCCTTTGGCGGTCCTTACGGTCCCTGGGCCTCAGCGTCCCCATCACGGACCCTGGCCCGGCGCCTGCCTTGGTGAGCCGGACCCACTGTCTCCCCAGGTCCTGAACCTCTTCCTGGCCCTGCTGCTCAGCTCCTTCAGCGCCGACAACCTCACGGCCCCGGACGAGGACGGGGAGATGAACAACCTGCAGCTGGCCCTGGCCCGGATCCAGCGCGGCCTGCGTTT